TGATTTGATTTGTTTCGAGTGTGCTTCGGTCCAACAAGGCTACCCGACACTGATGAGGACCAAAAGTCCGAAACAGGCTGTCTGTCGGTGCCTGGTTCGAACCACATTCGAAATAAAAGCACAGTGAGCGAGGTGATTGGCATTTTCACATATTGATAGGCACTACTACTTTAGTAGGAAAACCATGCTGATATCTTAAAATTAACTGCTATCAAAACCGCATTACTTCTATTTTGTCCTAAAACTAACAAAACATATTAAAAATTCTTTAGATCTTAACATTTACATATATCATAGTCAGCAATATTCTGCATATAAATTATGATTTCAATATATATGTTATACCATTGAAACTATTTTGCGTACGTATTTTGGTTACTGTTTTATTTTCTTAATGCAATTTATAAATTTTAGAAGATTTTTATTAAAGTTTTTTATATTTTAAACACAAAATTATAATTTTAAACGTCAAACTGCCAATTAGTTCTATCCTAAAATTCAATATATTTTTTCGCTGATCTTTACCCAGCACATAGCACCCAAGTAACATTTATAGTTTTATGATTGTCTTCAAGAACGCTTTAAAACCAGGAATCGGTTTTATCCTTAAATCTCTTTACTCTCCAAGATATCTTAAAGTTAACTTGAAAGCATTAATAAGATCAAAAAGGCGCATCTTATTAAGGTTTTTAAATCCCCCTTGATAAAACCATGGGGTATTTTTAAAAGTCATGTTCAAGTACTCTTCAAGATAACTTAAAGCAGACTTAGAGATATCTGCAAGATAATTTTAAAACCAATCAATTTTAAAATAGTTTTTAAAAAGATCACCATAAACCGATTTTTATAATTCTAAAACCTTTTTAAGATAAAACAGTATTTATAAATTAAAAGTTGCCAAGTGGATATCCAAGTATTAAATGTCTAACTAAATATATAATAATACATTAAAAATATAAAATCAATGTATTAGTTGCTTAAGGACAAAATTGTAAACGCAAAAAATTTTTTTGATAAAAGAATATAAAATACTTTTAAAAAGTGTATGCGCCGTATCAATAACGTAGTATTAAAGAAATATTAATTAATTTTTGTTAATATTTTTTGTCTTCATTCGGTAACTGCACTATGGGTTAAAATATATTTTTTAGGCTTAATAATATTATTAAATACCGATTATTCTTAATATTGTGTTAATTTTTACTATTGTTATTATTGTCAATAAGTTAAAATTGGTGAATGCCAAAATGGCACCTGTTAAAATGACAGATATGCCCTTTTTGACTTATTTAGGTGGTTTTAAGCATGGAATTGGTAGTTTCGGGCTAGTTAAAGTTAAAATTGGTAAATGCCAAAACGGCAACTGTCAAAATGACAGATACGCCCTTTTTGACTTGTTTAGGTGGTTTTAGGCATGAAATTGGTAGTTTCGGGTTAGTTGAAGTTAAAATTGGTGAATGCCAAAATGACAACTGTCAAAATGACAGATACGCCTTTTTTGACTTATTTAGGTGGTTTTAAGCATGGAATTTGTAGTTTCGGACTGGTTGAAGTTAAAATTGGTGAATGCCAAAAGGAACCTGTCAAAATGACAGATACGCCCTTTATGACTTATTTAGGTGGTTTTAAGCATGTCATTGGTATGTCGGGGTAGTTGAAACTACCAATTACATGCTTAAAACCACCTAAATAGGTCATAAAGGGCGTATCTGTCATTTTGACAGGTTCCATTTTGGCATTCACCAATTATAACTTTATATACCACGAAACTACCAATTCCATGCTTAAAACCACCTAAATAAGTCAAAAAAGGCGTATCTGTCATTTTGACAGGTGCCATTTTGGCATTCACTAATTTTAACTTCAACTAGCCCGAAACTACCAATTCCATGCTTAAAACCACCTAAACAAGTCAAAAAGGGCAATTCCATGCTTGGAAACACCGTGGGTTTTGCGTGGAAACACTGTGGGTTTTGCGTGTTTTCACTGTGGGTGTGGAATCACCGTGGTTACACGCCTGTACAAATGGAACAAACGGTGTTTCAACCGTGATTCAAAGACCGCGAGGGTAAGTAACAATAATTGTTACAATTATTATTTTAGTGTTTACCTTGCGCAAGTAAATAATTTTGAAAAGCTCACTCGCGCGAGGTTTACTCGCGTGTAGAGTACTAGTCCGAGGCTTAATCTCGCGAGTCTTAGTCGCGCGGGCTTAATCGCGTAAGTCTTAAACGCACGAGTCTTACCAAAGCGAGGCTTATTTGTGCTATTATTACTTGCGCGAGTTTTGGTCGCGCAAGGCTAACCAGCGCCAGGATTACGCGCGCGAGACTTGGACGCGCGAGTATTGGTCGCGCGACAGTCTTAGTCGCGCGGGCTTATCAGCGAGAGGATTACGCTCTCGAGGATTACTCGGGCGAGTATTTGTCGCGGGGGCTTACCAGCGCGAAGTTTATTCGAACGAGTCTTAGTCGCGCGAGTCTTACTCGCTAGGCCAATTTGGTGGAGCCTCGCCTGTACGCAAATAAGCTCTGCCCGAGTAAGGTTTCGTGCGAGAAAGACCTTATGAAAGTAAAATCTCGCGGATGTAATTTTTTACGCTTGTAATCAGTTGTTAATTTTTAATAACTACTTCTACTATTCTACTCCTCGTTAATAATGGCCTAAATTACCTCTTGTTTAATGACATAATATTATTTTTTTATTACTAAACGTAAAATTTATAAGCATTTTATTATTTAATTTGTTTTCATAATTTATAATAAAATATTTTATCCCATAGTGCGACACTTTCGGCCATTTAATAAATCCTTAAAATATAAACATCAATAAAACTTCATTGAATTAAAACTGCCAATAATAAAACCAATAGAACTAAACCAAGGGCAGATGTACTTATTCAAGACTAATTGACTTTATCAAGATTGTGTTTAATTATAAAATACACTCATAAAACCTCTTTAAATCTAAGAAGCATGCGCACCAAATTTTCTAGAAACCTAACCTTTAAGGTACATGTAAACATACACATTAAGTAAGGTTAAACCTTACTTAATGTGTATGTTTACATGTACCATTTTCATTACTTAAGTTAGACTTAATATTAATAGAAAGTTTTACATTTCTTTTTTGGATATTACAGTAACAATTAACTTTACATTTTCTGTAAAAGTGTACACTTCTTGTTTTACGAAGAGAATTATCCATAAACGTTGTCATTTTACCTATAGCTAAAGCTATAGCTATGACGTTCCGCAACATTTATATGGAACTAACTGCTTTTATCAAGTTTTTAAAGGTTTTGTCCAAGTAAAGTTAGTTTTATTGTGTATTTTAATTAGAGTATTATAAAATATAGTTTTATTAAACTCTTACTTAAGTTAAAGGAGTTTTAATCCTACCTTCAACAAAAGTTATCTCAAAGAACACTTTAAGATTAAAAATAAAAGCAATTTTAAAACAAAAGTATATTTATTTCGAACTAATAAAACCACATTGCTTTTAAGAGAATTTTAAGATAATATACTCTTATTGAGGTTTGATTAAAGTACAAATGAAGTCATTTTTAAGAGCAAATGATCTTAAATGCTAGATAGTTTTAAGGAGATGCCTTCAGGATAGCTATAAAACTCCCTTTTAAAACCATATCCTCTCGAAGTGTAATTAGTATTTATAAAAGCCATTTTAAAATAATTTACACTTTTTCCGCTATAATAAAACTGCCTTAAAACTAAGTCAAGTCAATTTGGATTTTAAAATGTTACTTGGGCACATTTATGCCCTTGCACAAACGCATTAAAAAAACATTGAAATGCATATTAATTGTGGTAAAACGAAATATTTTTAATTAATATAAAATTGTTAACTGATTTGAATGTGTACAATTAAAGCCTTAACATAATAATTATAATTAATATTTTTTTCTACTAATATTGATAATATTAACAATATTTTGGGTCTTAAAGTATATAATAATAACCATTACCTATAATAAGGCGGGGCCTACCAACGGGAGTAATAAACTTATTATTTCCGTTGCTTGGCTTTAGTAATTGGCAGATTTCATTATTCAATGAGATTTGGACCAATCGTTTCAATTTCAAAAATATTACAATCGCCCCTGGTAAAGAAAATCTAAGACCTGTCAAATAATCGAACCTTACTTTTAAATTTTTTCCTTTATTTTTATTTCTCACAATGAAAATTTTTCAATAGGAGAATAAGAAGCATAGTATAATAGATAATGGGCATTATTCATTTTATCCTGGCGGATCAAGATGTAAACCTCAATTATCAATATTAGTCAATTTACAATTTATTAATTTTTTTTAAATGTGAAATTGAACATTTCTACACCCCGTTTAATTAAAAAACTATTTCTAAAAATTTATTAAAAATTTTAGGATGATAATAAATAAATGTTAAAAGCAAAAACCTTCTCATTATCGTGCTATTCGTCATTGTTGTTAATTAATATAATTTTTTGAATACATAAATAATTCTACACAAGGAATTTGAAAATTTTAGTTCAGACTTTCCAGTACATTTTAAAATTCCGTGTGTATTAAAATAATGACATAAATTAGCAATAATGACGAATAGTACCATAATAAGAAGGTTATTGATCATTGTCTCAGCATGCCCCAAAAATTTTGGGCCAAAATGTTTACCAATTTTTTGTAAATAGTATACAAGATAATGAGTTTTCAACTCAACTGTACAAAAATGTTGAATGTGCCTTAATAAACAAATACATTTTTTTCAATAATTTTATAACGACTTGATATTAATAAGGTAGATTAATTTCCAATTTTCCTACTAACGTCAAAAATCGTAGGCTCATGTGGCAAATTTCTATTCTACTGTTTTCTTTTCCCCATGTAGGTACCTATAGTATACTATTGTGCAGTACCTACTTACATTTATTTAATTTATTTTATATTAGTTTTAAATTTAAAATCCTGTCATATTTATAAGGCAATTTAAAAGTTGTATGTTACCTGTATTGGCATCTTAAATTCTGATGAAAATCGTCGCGGTTTTCCAAAGTCGAGTCTTAATATTCCTGTAGGAGTTTCCCTGCTGCTTTTAGCTTGATCTTGGGGAGATCTAGAGGTGCTATCCATTTTACCAGTCTTTGCTGCGAATGAAATTTACATTTACAATATGGCAATTTTCTACTATGTATACATACAACAAACTACACCCGAACTTTTACTGTATCAACTTAATACGACACATTTACCTACAAGTGTTCTCACCATAAAGTATTTAGTTTAATATCCCACCTTTATAGATCGTATTACGTTACTGTTGGTTGGATAACGTTAAATAGCACATAACAGCCATCCCCATTAACATGATATTTTTACATGCTAATCGCGCAACAAGTTGTTTGCATTGAGTATCCCTAATGAAACATTACGTTATTAGTTTATAATTGCTCTATTAGACGCGGATACGCAGTCGATTAAAACAATAATTTAAGATAATATTATATATAAAGCTTTAACATGAACCTATTTTAAAAGTATAAGTCGATTAAAACAATAATTTAAGATAATATTATATATAAAGCTTTAACATGAACCTATTTTAAAAGTATATAAAATACCTGATCGAGAATTCATACTGCCCTACAACGCTAAAGTGCAGTAGATCCAATTTAAGTAATAAAGGACAAAATATCATTTTTATTGTTTTAAACAATATAAATGATATTTTTTCCTTTATTAGGTATACCTACGACGCGATGGTAAAATGCAGTACTTTTAATTTAAGTATACTTAAATTAAAAGTACTGCATTTTAGCGTCGCGTCGTAGGGCAGCATATTCCAACAGTCAGTATTATGATAATTGAAGGTGGTGATCAGGGGCGTAGCTACCGCGGTATCAGCCGTATCAATGATACAGGGCCCCCAGCTAGGGGGGGCCCCGATGGGCTTCGACATGCGTAAGCAAAAAATATATTACCCACATGTTAAAAAAATTGAGGCATCAAATTAAATAAATAAATAATATTATTATTTAATTGTTTATTCTTCAAATTATTTAAATTAAAATTTTCCTGAATACCCTCCTGTTCCAACGAGGCCGTTAACTCATACGAAATATTTCTGCCCGCACCTTTCCGCTATGCGTTGTCTGCGGCGCAGTCTGCGCATATTGTTCTGTGCTCTGCGCCGCATACTAAGTCTGCTTTGGGTGTTATTATCATAGGTTATATTAATAGCAAATTAGAAATAATTATTAGTGTTATTATTATTTCAAATGACTTGCCTTTATTTTAAAATAGAAACCTTTTAAAATATGTTAAGGAACGGTAAATGTCTAAAACCAGATAAAATTTTAAAATTTGCCTGTACATAAAAAGCTATGTATACATGGGTGAATATATTGAGATGTCCCCCAAGTGAAAATGATTATTTTTTATTTTTGGTTGTTTCACTGTTAGTCTAGAATGGGGTTTTTGGGAAGCCACCAGGTCTAGTAATAACATAACATAAGTGGTTCTGCACTAATGCAAGAATTTTAAGAAATCATACATTTTGAATATTAGAGCTTCACGGAAGATAGCTTCACGGAGGTTAGGATTTCCTATGTATTTTTTTAAACCTTTGTATATTTGAAATAAGTTATTGTATCTTTTGACACCTTAATATTTTTAAAAAATACTATGTACATACATAAAAATTTATAAAAAATCTACTTACTGAGATATTAAACTTCACGGTGGATAGGTTTTTATATAGCAAATTAATGAACTTAAACTTTTGAATTATAAAACAGCAACACTCTCATCTGTATATAAACTCTAACTGACCTTCAGGAATCACATGCATCTATAATGTCGTAAACAGAGGTTTTTGCTTATTTAAAATAATTAAAGCGCCATCCGTTGCATAAATTTTAAAGCAAAAGCAGATTCACGGAGGATAGAATCAACCTACATAAATGGTTATAAAAATTATTTCTTTTAATAATATTTTATATTTGATTTCATTGCTTTGGATGTGTTTAATTTACTTAGTGAACTGATATTTTTAATATGCTTTTAATACCTCAGATATTTGAAAACATAAGGGTTAACCCAGAAAGAGTAACAGTCACGGAGGATAGGTTTTAGACTTTAAAAACATTGTAAAAAATAATTAATTGCGGTTAACCTGAGCTGTAATATCTACTTAATTATGAAAGATCAAAACACAATAAAAGTTTAGGTCAAACTCATTAAGATTTATTAAATATCACGGGGTAACACCATCGGGGGACATTTCGTGAGATTCACCCACATATATTATTTATTAAATTATAAAAATTGGTAAATGCAAAAAAACTATACCTTAAAATTTTTTTTGCCAGCACCTTTTCCGGTATAAGGGCCCCTACCAGATTTTTGATACGGGGCCCCTCGAGGCTAGCTACGCCACTGGTGTTGATAGTAACATTTTTATTATAAAGGACAAAAGATATTGTGATTACATTATCAAATTTATTTTAATTTGCAATTATAATATTTTTTATTTTGAGGGGTCATGTTACAATTAAATTAAAAAAAGAACAGACAATATTGTGTTTTATTTTTATCCCATATTAAATTCATACAAAAAACAGTACTAAGTAAGTCTGTTTTATTGGTTTGTTAATTTAAACTAAAAAGTTAAAAAGTTATTTAAATTAAAAACATTCTTATTTATACTCTTTTGTATAATTATTGTTAAAACTAAGGAATTCTAGTGAATTTTAAACTGCATAAAACGATGAAATAACTATATTTCTAGTATTTACTATGTAAAAAACAAGTTGGACTTCAAAAGTTTAAAATGTTGAACTTTAAACTTTTAATAAAAAAAAATATTGACGTTTAATAACGGAAATAATACATAGGCGACTTAAAATTATAAAAAAGCAACATTTGAACATTAAACAATTAATTTTTTTTTAACAAAAATTTAAATTCTTTTCAACAATTTTTTTTTTAACAAAAATTTAATTTATATTCTAAGACTAGAAATTAATTTTTTAAATTAAAAATAATAATAATAATAATTAAGGTAGACTAAAGAAAGAGGAAAAAAAGCAATTTTATAAGAACATTGATCTTTAAGATCTTTAAGATCAATGTTCTTATAAAATTGCTGAACTTAATTTTATTGCATTAAATATTTATAAAGTTAAAAAAATTTGACGTATTTAAATTCGAGCTAACTTTAACAAACCCAGTTAGGGTTTTATTACTAAATAGGTATACTTTGAGGAAAAAACATTAAAATCCGGTTTGTCGCACAGTGAAAATAGTTCTTTGCGTTTATCTACCTAGATGCTATTCACAGCATTTTTATTTATAATAAAAATATATGGGCTTAATAATAGTTAAATTTTATCCAAAATCAAATTTAATAATACCTACTAATAATTAATATTGATGATTAAATCAAATGTCATTTGATGATCAAATCAAATGTCATTTGAATGTAGGAAGTGTCTAAGTATACTGTTTGTTGCGACGGTTATTATATATTTGCCCGCCGCGGCGATTTCTTAATCTAATTAATAAAATTAACTTAATATTTTTAATAAACAACATTTTATAAAAGGGTCCAATCGACCTCCGCGACGGTGCTTTTTTTAAAATATTATTTAGTTGCTGCTGAGGAGCAGCTAGTAGACACATCTTAAATCGGCAGTAAAGTTCTTCTTTACTGCCGATTTCTTTTACTTTACTGCTGATTGTTGACTACTTTACTGCCGATTTTGGATAAATACTTTTCACTGAAAAACTTATCAGGGTAACTTCTGTCACAAAAGTTCAGTGTAATTTAAATAATTGAAGTTTGTTCAAATGTCCAAATGATTATCGGGTTAATAGTAATTTTGACGATGCGTTTAGTCCAGGAGGAGTCCGCCGACTCCCCTTGACCACCCTGCCAGCGTCCATGGTGGCATTATATTGCAAATTGTATTATTAAAATACCTAGTATTTTATTGTACCTATTGTAAAAAGTATTGTCCTGTTAAAAATACAATAATAATTACAATGGTCAATACAAGGGGCGTTTTTCAGTGGGAAGTTTTGTACATTTGCAGGGAAATCCAAAGGAAGTTTCGGGAAGTCCAAGAAGTTCGAGGAAGTTTAAGGAAGTGCAGGGAAGTATAAGAAAATCCACTAAAATCAAAGGAAGTTGCAAAGAAGTCCTGGGAAGTACACAGCTTTGGAAGAGCCCATTATCGTATGTAACGTTTCATTCTAACCTAACTTTTCAGTTAAAAGTTAAAAAAATATTGCGGCATTTTATTAATCCCAATAACACATGTTTTTAAGTTTATTTGCGTTTTAGTTCCTCACAAGTTTATATTTATATATTTTTAGGGGGCCTCAAGAATTAAATTTGCCCCATGGGGCCCTGCAGGCCCGCTATACCCTCTCGGCGGCCCTGGGTATATGTATTAACAAATAATCTCTAACAATGCCTAATATAATTTAAATTTGATAATAGAAAAAAAATTATAATACATATTTAATGAAGAAAAAAACATAATAATAATAAAATAAAATTAAAAAATATCCCTAATTTCTTCCAATTTTTACTTAACTCACTAAGTTAATAAACTGCTTAATTTACTAGGGTAAAAATTTGACTGACAAAATGAAAGAAAGCGGCAAAAGTTTTATTTAAAAAAATATATACCTATGTAGTTTTAATACCAACCTTTATAAATAATGGGATATTTAATTTCTGACAAGCCTTGTATTTTATTCTAATCATAATTACTAGGCATATATTTGCCTATAAGTTGTTTACCTGCATGATACATTTTAATTTAATTAAGTGGGTAAGTGATTTTCTATGGCATAAACTTAATATCCATAATGAAATAATGCATTATACTAATCTAACGTGATCAAAATTAATTATTTTATTACAGATATCATAAAACCTTCGTCTTTTGTCCTAGCGGATTGTAAATTATGAGTCATTGCATGAAACGGCAATTTTGTTTATTATTCTTTGTAATGAACATTAATAATAGTATATCATAGAGAAGATAATGCTATTAACGGGGATTCAAGGGGATAAGGATTGCAAATCTATACTTTATCAACTCCAATTAGTAAATAATTAAA